GTCCCACAGGCTCTGACCACAGCGCGCCTGCATACAGTGAATCTGGGAGGCCTTTGGCGTTCGCTATAGCCGTAGTGAATATTCGCTGAGGCGGGGTGGATTTGTGTGGCGAGCGATCGGGGGTAGCGGCGGCGTTCGCTATAGGCAGGGTTTTCGCTATTGCGGGGTTCGCTGTAGCGAGGGAAGACTGTACCCAAGGCCAAGAATCAGGGCAATCAAATGGGCATGATCAGCACTTGAAAGTTCTGGATCAGCCGTTCAGCTTGTGCTGCACCGCGGAAAGCCGGTCGAGCCGAAGGTGCTGCACACACGGCCACAACACAGGTGGTCTGGAAGGTGTGGCGAGGGCTGCGTACAAAGCCCGAATGTTGAGAAAGGTAGGGTGGCTACGTCAGCGCCCATGGCCCATATCATAAGCCGTCGAGAGGGATCATCTGGAGTGGACATGTTGCCGCATCACTGCCCAGCCAGATGTAGATGTGGTTGTTGCGCCCAGCGGGGGTTCCCTGCGTCCCCCACACGGGTGGCTCAGCGGGGAAACGGGCGTTTGCCCCGCCCCCTGCGCCCATCCTTAAAGCATACTGGGTGCCCAGCTCCCGGTCCACTCGACTGTACTCGGTTGCGCTGTGCATGTGGTGCCGCCCCGGACATCCTTCCTCGTGCTGGCTTCAAGCGGCTTGCGCGATCCCAACTATGTATTTATCAACATCATGTTGAGCACCGTTGAGCATGCGAGCAGACATGAGTGCTAATTTGAATCGGGGTGACGTCAGGAAAAGCTGGCTGTCATGGTTGACACCGTGATCCCACCGTTTTGAGGTCGCAGCATGCGCTGAGATCACCTATCCAACGCTTACAGGCTGCCTGTACCCGTAGCTTGTGGAGATCTGGCCCGCGGTGAGTTGGTAAGCTCGCGAATGGCATGTTGGGCATCCGGCTGGCCCTTCGAACAATCTCAACGGCCCATTTACCAGGTGCCATGCGCTGGCAGTCAGCTCTCCTTGTGCGGTGCTGGTGTGCGCCGTACCTGCCACTGCCGTCGCCGCACCTGTGTAAAAGCTTTTGCTGCCGCCCCTTGAAACCTGCTCTAATGATCCCATGCCACCACTCGTACCAACTGCAGGCACCATGAAGAAACGCGCTGCAGGCAACGATGCGCAGGGGCCGCACACGAAACGCATGGCGACTGCCCTGGACGCCACGGCACGCACGGCGACGAAGGCGATAGAAGCCGGCCGCATGCCATCAGAGCTCGACCGCCCCGTTGTCCTCTCGCTGCTGATGCGCGACCTTGCGTCGCCCGGCGCCTCGGCGGCCGCGGTGGAAGGCGCGTCCGGCGCGCTCGTCCAGCTGCTGGAAGCCGAGGATGGCGCCGCCGCCGCCGCCGCGGCCGAGCTGCTGGCGGCGGGGGCGCTGCCGGCGCTTGCAGGCGCCCTGGGCGCCACGGGCCGCGCCCCGGGCGCAGCCGCGCGGGTGCTTCTGAGCCTCGCGTTGGCGGCTGGCGACACCAGCGCACGATTGGCCATGATCGGGCGAATGGCGGACACTGATGGCATGCTGAGCGGCCTCATGGCCACCCTTCAAAACGAGGACGACCCTGAACCAGCCGAGTGCCGCACGCTGACAGCACACATCCTCAGCATGCTGGCATTTTCCGAGGGTGCAGTCGCCCGCATCGCCGCCCTCCCGGACGCCGCCGCCACGCTCGCAACCGCGGCGCTGTCAGTGCATGCCACAGGGGCAGCCTGCCTGCACATGTTCGTGACTCTGCTGTTACAGATTGCAGGCGAGGGGGCGGCGCGGGCGTGGACACCAGAGGCCATGACGCGTGTTGTCGACGTGATGGCGCTGGCGGCAGATGAGGTCGAAGTCGAATTGGCGGGGCTGGCAATGATCACACTGCAGCGGCTCGCACTCGCAGCCGATGCGGCCCCGCGCATCGCCGCACACCCGGCCGCCATGCGCGCGATGGCAAAAGCGGCCGTCGGCGCCGAGGACACGGATGTGCGCGGCGCGGCAGAGGCTGCGCTGCGAGCCGTCGCGCGTTGTGACGTCGAGGCAAAAGCGGCCGTGGCGTCAGCGCTCGCGGCGCGGCTGGTGGCGGGCGACGCCGCGTCGCGCGGCCGTGCACGAGCACTGTTGCGGGCCGCGCCGCTGTCGCTGCCGTCGCTGGCGGTCGCCGCGCTCGAGGGTGCTGTTTCCCTCGCGGCCGGCGAGGTGGCGGCGCTGAAAGCAGAGGTGGAGGAGCTGTGGTCAATCCCGGTCAACACACGCGCGGCGATCGTGGAGCTTGCGACGGCAGTGAGGGGTAGGCCTGGGTAGCTGCTTGTCACTCGTGCGGATGTATCTTGTTAGCACCGGTGTCTCTGACTGTGTAATCACAGCCACCTCATGTGTTGTGAGAAAAGGCAATAACGTGTGCATGCACCTTGGTCTGGGAGTTCTTTCTTGCTGCCGCCCTGCTATTTATGGGTGCGCGGGGTCGATGATGTACTGTACTCGCGTTTTGTCCTTGTATTGCTGTAAATTTTGGCTTTGGGGTGACCATGAGTGTACAGTACTCTGCATTAAAAAACCGAATGTGGATTTACTGCATTTGCAGTCGAGGAGGAAAGGATGCAAATGCATGTAATGTAATGAGTCTTTGCTTTGAAGGAGATGTGAAACTCGATGTCGGAGGTACTGCTATGCAGGCACGGTTTCTCCCTCGCACTGCTACGTGGCAGCACGGTACCCTTCAATCGACGAGGGTCTGTGTCGGGGGCCGAGCTTGTGTCACCCACATGAACACGGCATGTGTGCCCAGCAGGCCAGGCTGTAAGCAGAGGTTGTGTGACAGCAGAGCAACAAGGCTTGCAGGCCGAGTGAGTCGCGGGCTGACGTAAGCAGGCAGACGGGGGGCCGCTCGCAGGGGCCTCTGGTCCTGGCGCTCGGCCGGTCGCGTTCTTCACATGTGCACACCCTTGGGCTGCCCGCGCCACTGATGAGCTGCGTCCCCCGCCACAGCGGCGACTCCCGATGACTGTAGGCAGGACGCTTACCCTGCGGGGCCCGCCCCTGCCGGTCCCGCAGGCTGCGCCGGCCCATGCCACCCAGCTGCACATGATTGGCAAGCGCTGGCAAGCAATGTGATCAAGCAGCACACAAAGACGCAGCGGCCACGCGTCCGGCGCTCAGACAGCTCGTATGCCGCGGCCGGCCCGCAGGCCCACTGCGAGGTCTGCGTAGGCCCGAAAGACCCCAAAC